GATAACGTTAATATCTTATTGAAAAATTTTTCAGTATTTTTTTTATTAGAACTAGCCAACAGAATTCTACAAAATGGCATTTGATGCCGGTAAATTTTTGAAAACGACAGACCTGGAGAGGTTTGATAATTTAAAGAAAGAATTAGTGTTGCTTGCTAAACATCTGAAATTAGACTTTAGAATATCTATGAAAAAATGTGGTTAAAAATTATTTAGTCGACTCAGAAATTTTTGGTGAAGAGGCTCTTGAACTCAAGGTCGGAAATGTTGATGCTTTCAAATTAAAACAGCTTGAATGAGAACATGAACTTAAATTAAAACAATTGGAAAATGAAGAAAGGCAGGCAGAACTTGAAATTAAGGAAAGGTTAGAGATGGAGAAGATGAAAGAAAAAGAAAAAGAAGAATTTAGATTAAAACAAGATGAATTTAAATTAAAACAGGCAGAACTTGAAACGAGGGAAAGATTAGAGATTGACAAAATGAAAATTGAAATATCCAACAAAGTTGAAAGCAACACTTATGTAGAATCAAAATCAGAACATTTTTATTTTGATGCAGCAAAAAATATCGTTTGGTTCCCAAATTTTGTGAAAAAAAAATGTTGATAATTTTTTTCCACGGTTTGAGAAAATTGCTCAAAAATTGAAATGGCTGAAGCCTTTTTGGACTACAATGCTGCAAAGTTTTTTTAGGGCAAGGCCGCTGAAATTTACTCAGCACTTTCATCAGAAAATAGTTCTGATTATGACACGGTTAAAAAGGAGGGTTTGAAAGCTTATGAGCTAGTGCCAGAGGCATGTAGACAGAAATTTAGGTCTAATAAAGATGTGTCTTTGTCCAAACTAACTAAGGACATTTTTACCACGTGTTAGTTTGTGGTTTGTCATTACGTCGTCTGATCTTTTAATTACCGAACGTGACTTATTCCCGATTGTGACTGCTTTGCTGAGTTTGAAACCGCATTGCTATAAGACGTGTCGCGGTACTTTTCTATCCCAAATTCATGTATTTAATTTTGATGTTATATTTGTTACTCTCATCGGATTTTGTCAAATGTCTTAACGTCTCTTCTGTTATATTCGTGTGTTATGGTAAAGATAATTAATCACCCCCTTCATTTATTAGATTCTAGTTTGGTTCAACGAAATTTATATGATATATTTGGTTTACAGTTTGATTCAGAAGAAACACCGACATAGCTAGATAATACAATTAATTATCTAATTACTACCACAATTTGATATTAATAAGTATTGTAATTTTCATTGTTATTAATAAATGTAATGTCAGTATTACAAATCTAATCTTGAATCGATCCTAATCCTATCTTATTTTTGGGAAATATTTTTACAAATTCAAATGTGACGTCACTTTGTGTTTTTTTTAGAATTTCAAATGTGACGTCACTTTGAGCGTTGAGGCTTTGGCTAACTCGGCTGTGTATTTTTATGTGTTGGATTAAGTGGTTTTATGCAATGTATCCGTTTTTTTTCTGTAGTTAGTCCCCACTTCGGTTTTATCATGTATATCTATTATATAGTCATTTTATAAAATTTACTGTTTGCAAAATTATAAATTATTCTAAATAATAAGGATGTTCTTGTCCCAGGCAGAAAAACCCTGGCCGTGTTAGACGCAACTTTTTGGAAGTTTTGGTCCTCGGTGCTCTTCAGCTTTGTACTTGTTTTGGCTTTCAAACTTTTTTCATCTGAGCGTCACTGGTTGGTCTTGTGTGGACGAGACGCACGTCTGGTGTATTGAATTTTAAGCCTAGTACCTTTTGTTAGCTATTATTCGTGTGTTTCTTTGTCCTATATGTTCTCCCATTTATTTGTATTGTGGTCCTGTCATGTGATGTTGTCGTTTTGGTGTTGTGTTTGACGTTGCCATAAAAGCGGGAGGTTTGGCATGCCACAAAACCAGGTTCAACCCACCATTTTTTTTCTTAAATGTCCTGTACCAAGTCAGGAAAATGGCCATTGTTATATTATAGTTCGTTTCTGTGTGTGTTACATTTTAATGTTGTGTTTTTTTTGTGTCGTTGTTCTCCTCTTATATTTGATGCGTTTCCCTCAGTTTTAGTTTGTAACCCAGATTTGTTTTTATCTCTATCGATTTATGAGTTTCGAACAGCGGTATACTACTGTTGCCTTTATTGATTCATTAACCTATGTTGAATTTGCTAGGGAAAAAGAAGATCTATTTCATAAATGATTTACGTCAAAGAAAATAGATAAACATTTTGATAAGTTAAGACAATTGATGTTATTAGAAGAGTAGCAGTATGTTCATTTAGACTTAAAAACACATTTAGATGACAAAACTGTTGAGGCATTACAAGATGCAGTTGTTATTTCTGATAATTATGCCCTTTCATATAAAAGAAGTTTCAAAGGTGAAAATTTTAATACTTCGAGTGGAAATTACAGGAATCAAAGCACTGAGCGTACTGAGAGTAAGCCTGTTGCACAGAATAAGAGTCAGTTTAGTCCAAAATTTGATACTTTTGAGAAGAAGTCACTGACTTGTGCTTATTGTAAGAAGAATGATCACCTGATGGCTGATTGTTTTAGACTCCAGAAGAAGAATGTAAGAGATAATAAGCCCAAGACACTAAATGTATTAACTAATTGTATGCAGACACTAAAGTTAGATATAGACTAAGACATCGATAGACATCAACATTCTCAGCAGGTGGATTCACACTTTTATTTACTAACAACATCATACTAGATTGTGACCTATTGGATGAAATAATCTTGTGGATTCCGAGAAGATTTCCGGATGAAGAAAATATAAAAGATTGGACACATATTTTGAGAGTTAAGTTGACATTTCTATTTGTGTTATACTTCTTGTAAACTAGTGTATAATAAATATTGTTAAATTTTATTATTGATTTGTGTCTTTTGTTGGCTACAATTAACAAGCGATTTTTCTGGTCGTAATAACCTGCTTAGGAATTTGAATAATTATGGTCATTACATGTAGATCTAAGAGTTCTCGAAGTTACTGAAAACTAGTTGATTGATTGATTGCTAAACGTCCAGTGGCAAAAAGTTCATGTCTGTTCAGGACTTAAACAACACTACGCATCAGATTGAACTTGGGCCAACAACTAATTAAAAAAAATCATTTATCTAAGTTGAGGTTCATTCAAGTATTTGTTGATAGAAGTGAAGTGATCTGAACCAAAGTTCTAGTTTTTAGTTTCTATATAAGGTGGAATATAACGACACAGTTCCAATACTCCACTGATTCACTAAGGATAATATACTAGTGTACAAATGACATAGATTTGAACAATTCACATTCATCTACAGGAAACATTGTGTATTATTTTTTTTAATAAAAAAAAATATATGTCAAAAAATTATGTGTAGGCACGTGCCTAAAGTGCCTAACGGCAGCTATGCCCCTGAATATAACATGCATATTCAGGATGAGAAAAAATAAATACTGTATAGAAAATGTACATGTAAGTCTACCGGGATGAAGAAGGATATGAATTAGCAAACGAAGTGAAAAAAAAGTATCGGTCAATGATTCAGGAACCCAACGACACAATACAATTTCTAATTTGTTCCGATATTATTTACAAACTACACATCCATAAAGAATATTTATTTCGAAACAAAAATATATTGAGGACATACATATGACTTAAATTAAAAAAAAACCATTTCCAAGAAAAAATGATCACATACAAGCAGAATATTTTCTTTTTTGTCAAAATGAATTCCACCCGCCCTTTTAAGTCCATCTGATTGAGTAAAATTTCTCTATAAAGTTTACCATCATCATATATTACTACTACAGTGTGTGTTCTCCCATCAGTCACATATACATTCCTCTCATTATCAGTTGTCACACGACCTAAATCTTGATATTTATCATTTTCAAACTAAGTTAAGTTTTATGACCGAGAGCCATGTTCTGTTCATACTATCTAACAAAATTCAGAAATTCATACTTCCTTATAGCCTGTACTGTAAAATCACTACCTGCTTAGGAATTTGAATAATTATGGTCATTACACGTAGATCTGTGTCCAACTATCAAAGAGCAAGTGGACATGAACCAAAGATCATTACGTCTTTGAATTTTTTTTCAAAATTTCCATATAAAGTTGATTTCTGGTCACAAATGAAATTAAAGCGTTGATCACACAAAACATGTACATAACACAATTATTAATTGTCTCTGAAAACGGAATACAACTGTACAGATCATGACAATCAATCAAGTTAGATTGATAGTAAAGAAAACGAAAATAAATGGAAGTTATTTTGAATGACTAAATGCACAAACAGATTCGAGTCCGAATAAACTCATTGTCTGAAAGAACTATTCATGATTGTTTATGTTGGTTTCTTTTTTAATTTAAAAAGAAAACCATTTCCAAACAAATGATTACATACAAGCAGAATATTTTCTTTTTTGTCAAAATGAATTCCACCCGGCCTTTTCAGTCCATCTGATTGAGTTAAAATTTCTCTATAAAGTTTACCATCATCATATATTACTACTACAGTGTGTGTTCTCCCATCAGTCACATATACATTCCTCTCGTTATCAGTTGTCACACGACCTAAATCTTGATATCTATCATTTTTAAACTTCCAAATTAATTTTTCATCTAGCGAGCAGCAGTATATTGATGTAACGTTTATACAGACCAACCTGTCTCTGTTAACTGAAATGTCGCGAATTTTTCTGAAGGTAAAGGAATAGTTCGTATTTCTTTACCTGTCAGGTCCATCACATGTATAATACTCATATCAATAACAACGTAAAGGTTATTATCATCAAATGATATTCCGTAGCAGTTATGACTGGTATTGAATGTACTGGTGACAGATCTTGTATGCATATTTATTATCAGTGTGGTATTGTTAAATGTACATGACACTGCCACAGTATTACTATCTACTTCTGTTATATACCGTGGTTTATAGGACAGAGGAATGTGATGGACATCAGTACCGTCTGCATTACAAATAATAAGTTGGTCATTATTATAGTCGGTAAACACCAATGAATTGCCTATTTTGATGCAGCTAGTAATGACCTGATATTCATTCCTTCCCTTTTGGATATTAAACTGTTGACGCGAATTGACAGAAACAGGAAGGTTGTATTTGACAGGTGTTTGAGCTTGGGTGAACGCCGCAGTTGTGGTTGGTATTTTTTCTGAAATACAAAATTATTCATCAAATTAGTATGATCAGACCACATCGGTTTTTCACGCACGCAAATTTGTTTTAAGTACGATTGCCGCACGAAAATTTATTTTCACTTTTTTTTTACATTTTTTCCTGCACTTTGTATGATTCAGTTCATCTGTCTTGTCAAAAGTTTACTATTTTCAGCTCTTGCTAGCAATATCCTCCTGCACCACCCCAAGAAAATGAAACGCTCGTCCCATAATCGAAGGAAAACTGAAATAAAGGTTATAAATAAAAGAGATTGAAAAAAAAGAAAGATGAGTTGACATACCAAAGGGAAACGTTATTTGGTTGACGCTATCTTTTCATCTATTGTTGGGTAATTGAAGGAGATATACTAATTTATTGTGTCTTTTCAATTCTTATCTTCTCGGTTACCATAGAACCAACTGATAAAAACCACAAGCCACTGAGAAAACTTGTCATAATGAATATAAACAGAAACACGCCAGACACCGATAAATCGGTTAGAAGAGCAATGTTTTGCAATGGGAAATTATAATAAGTTGTATCACTGATATCGTATAAATATTAAAGGGTGACCGTTGGTATAGAGATATGGTCATCTGGACGTCTTCCGATTAGCAGTAACAACTAAAGTTAGGCGTCTGTTTGGTTGAGGGTGATGCATAAATCCGATGTCTCGTGTCAAAGAGTGTCAAGTTCTCTTTGCGTGAATAACTGTTAAAATTGAGAATGGAAATGGGGAATGTGTCAAAGAGACAACAACCCGACCAGTTAACATGTTACAAGTATGTGTCGTTAATCCAACTTACCATTAGGTGATAGAGGTTGGGTAAATGCTTCTTTGTTTGCTGACATATTTTCTGAAATATATTTAAAACAAAAGAAATAATTGATACATTCAAACGCAGTTAACAAACGTACCATGCTTTTGAGGGGCGTCTGTTTAATAATCCACTGCTTTTGTTACCTATTAAAAGTGTACTTATTTTTTTCCGTTTTGAAAATAAATGAACCTTTTGCCACTGGTCGTAAAGTAGTCAACATTCAACTAATTGATCACGTATGAACTGATTATCATTAGTTAAGTCCTTTTCTGCTGTTTATAGTTTCAACACCCCTATTTTTAGTTTCAAGTAAAACTTAGATTTTGTTTTTTGAAAAAGAGGGAACATTTAATTTTATAATTGTAGGGGAGATTTTATATTATGATTATGGGCATCATAACATGAGGTCACGCTTTTGTAAAGAACTGCTAAGGAGCACGTTTTGCGGAGAGGCTCCCCTACCCAGGATAAAGAAATTGGTACAAGAAATTTTTTTCTGAGGGCGAGGTTTTGTCCCAAAGTTGCTCCACATGATGTGTAAATACGCATCCACATTAGAATAGAATAGGGGTGTTGAATAGGAAGGTTCTTTAGTAGGAAAATATCACTCTTCCTGCAAGCTAACCCTTACAACGCTTTTGGGAATCCGTAGTTTACCTATTGCAAAGCTCAACTTTTGACCATATGTAACATGCCATCAATTTCCAAAGCTCTTCATACATTCTAGTCGACTCATCTTAATCTCACCGTAACCTGTTTTTAATTTGTGACCCTTCATAATATGGCACGAATTCTTAAGCAAAACATTAAACCAATCAATTTTCGTCGACTTATTTTTATGTTTTTATGGGACTAGTAGATACAATTAAGTTTGTTTTACAATTTTGAAATCAGAAAAAGTCAATAAAAATAATATATTCATAATTAAAGAGCTTCTTATAAAAGAGTTGGTATAATTTCCTTACCATATTAAATGCTTTAAAATGCAATGATTACTTATCTTTGTCTCATTAGATATATCGCCATATATATATATATATATAAAGATACATTCTTTGAATGAGAAGTAAGTTATTTACGAAATGTTACTGCTGTTTAAAGTTGAAGAAACCAATGATTTTATTTGTTCTGGTATCACAACGATCTAACAGTCAACTGTTTAAACCTATATTCAAAATGATTACTGGGTGGCGGCAGTTGGAGATGATTAAGAGAGAGACGAAAGATACCAAAATGGACGTTCAAACTCATATATCGAAAATTAACTGATAACGTCATGGCTAAATAAAGAAACAGACAAATAACAGTACACAAACCACAACATAGAAAACTAAAGACTGAGCAACACACACCCCAGCAAAAATCCCAGGTCCTCCGGAATAGTAAGCAGATCTTGCTTCATATGTGGCACCCGTCGTGTAGCTCGTGTGAGTGCAGACATGTTTATAAGTTTTATATGGTAGGTCACTTTCGAGGAAAGAAGGACGGGATTGTAGTTACGATTGATTGATTGATTGATTGATTGTTGGTTGCTTAACGTCCAGTGGCAAATATTTCATGCATATTCAGGACGAGAACAAATTAACAATAAATACAATAGGTAGGTTCTGTAATAGGGGCTTCCGGGATTAAGGTCGGAGAAATTTAGACTGCCACGGGAAAATGAGGGTATGTTGAAAAGGGACAGAAATTTAGCCTTGCAACAGGTCACCTACGGACCCCTCAAAGAGTTGTTGCAAGGGTTCTTAACGTGCAAAGAGCGTGGCACTCTCTTTACACGAGGTATCGGATTTAACGTCCCCATTCTGACCGGACGTGGCTGCAAATTTGTACATCCCGCACAGCCAAACGGACGCCCCACTTTAGCAAGGGTTTTACTGCCGGTCGGAGGAAGACCAATGGTGACCATACTTCTATTCCCCAGTCACCCTTAAGGTCTTGTAGTTACGACAATTGAAACATATCCGCTATCATTTGTGAATCAGATATTCCATAACGGTCATAACTAAAGACTGAGCAACACAAACCCCAGCAAAAATTGGGGATGATGCATGTGCCCTGGAAGAATAAGAAGATATGCTCCTAAACGACAACTTACAATGAATCAAATAGCAATAAGAACGCCCATTTCTAAATCATAACTCTCTTTAACCGAAGTCTAAACCTATTTACCGGAACTTGAACACACCTCCAATATCGCACTTCGTCATAGTATTTAACAGATACTGTAGTCCACGAACTTGTTGGAAGCTTTCACTTGTTGAACGTTTTGTTTTACAATATAATGACGTTCATAACATCGTGGATATGGAAACCTGATATTTTGTTGCCTTTTAAATATTAAACTTTTTCATATGTATCAATGGCTGTCGATTACAATGATTTCACTCAATGATACCGTTGCAACCCAAAAACTACTTTTTAATCAAATGAAAATTGCACCAAAAATTATAAAATGTCTAACACATGTATGCATACACAAAACCGCTGTTTTATACTGACCGACTTTAGAAACGCAACACTAGATTAATCTTTTTTTAATTTCAAATATGCAATGTATGTTGAACATATGTATGAACATAAATTTCATTCATTACTTCATTGTTTAATAGTATTTTACTGTTCGAAAGTTGAATTGATAGATATTTTTTTTTATTTTTAAATCATGTGGTATGCACTGAACCCCTGGGTTTCTCCTTACCAATGGATGTGTCACCGTTGCAGGCAATGACTGCCTGTAACCAAAGCCAAAATGATTGTCAAAAAAGGTAAAGCAATTCTGTTGGTCATGTTTTGAGTTCCGTTTTGTACCTTCTGATTTTGCATTTGTCCCACCCATTACAGTGTGTTTTGGCAATAATGCAGTTTAAACTTTAGGGCTTTTGTGTTTTTTCTGCAGACGATTCTTCGGCATTTCAGTTTATGAGAAACATGGCATTTGGCGATATGAAAAGTAGTTGACGTTGCAGCCGTATACATGTCTTGCAAATGACGTCGCGTAATCAAATTCTATTGACGTGACGTTGTCACTACATATTGATCTGGTCATTGATGGTCATCAACAAATCCCGTCTACCTTGTATCGTTGATTGAAGAACAGTAAGACGAGTTTCTGACGTCAAATTGTCTGGTTACAGCACGTTCACGTTTTCCGGCATGCAATACTCTTATGGGCTGATTTAGATTTTCATTGCTCAGTCTCGGCAATATGGAGATGCAACATGTTTTTCCTGGTTAAAGTGTGGGTATGGATTGACAGAACTGTCTAACGCAGAAAAAAAAACCTTAAAAAAATCATTTATGGGTTTCAAATTTCGCTATTAGAAATTCGTGCGACTTCAAAACTCCGGTATGTTCAATTACCTCGAGTAATTCAGATATTGAATTTTTCTTAACAGAAAGAAGTATGGTAAGCATGAATAGTAGTTATTTGAGGATCTATAATGATTTGGTTAAAACATTAACAGTATCTATAGTATGTGATATAGTTTCTCTTCAGTTTCGGAATTTTTTCGCCTACGTTTTTTCTAAGCCTAATTTTACATTATACGTGTGCCCGAAGAGTCTTCTAAGGTCGAAGTTAACTGTTGTGGCTTGTTGTATTTGCTTGCGGGAACAATACAGGATCAATATGAAAACACCAGTTTAATAACACTCGATTTCTGTTTTATAAATATTTACAAGTAAATGCATTTTTACAAATAATAAAATGTATAGAGATAAATTAGTTACCAAGACAAATAGGAAGGAGTGTTGCAGTAATATCATTGTTTGTTCCGCTTCCGTTTGAAAGTTTCAAGATGGCGTCCGACATTTGTCCTAATTGATTTACCATTTGATGGTCGGTTTCAAATAACTCGGCCTCGATATCAAATTCTAAGTAAACTGGTTGTCCAATGGTTTTTGATGCAATCCATTGTGTGAACTCTGTAAGATAAATATAAAAAAAAGAATAAACGAGTTTATATTGAATTGAATCCGTTAATTTGACGTAATTTGACGTCAATCTCTTTATTATTGGCGTATTTTTGCTAGAATCAACGATTTTTCCAAATTAATTACCACATTTTATTCAATTGCTCACTTTGTTTGCTGTATTTCTTTCAATTTGAAAAGACTAATGTACTGATTTCTGTTCAAATATGGAATGGTTTAAAAAATACCTTTGAGGTTTGCATTTTTTGTCTCTTGTTTTCTTGATGTCTGTAGTGTGAAACATCAAATATATAACGAAACCTCTCTGCTACCAACGTTTAAAGATTAAATGTTTTTTTTACTATATAACTTTAATAGAAAGATAGAAACTGAAAAAGTAAAAATGTTCATCAAGACGATATTATTTAGTGAAAGGACATCATATATATATATAATGATTGATTGATTGTTGGTTGCTTAACGTCCAGTGGCAAATATTTCATGCATATACTGGACGAGAACAAATTAACAATAAATACAATAGGTAGGTTATGTAATAGGGGCGTCCGGGGTTAAGGTCCGCGAAATTTAGACTGCCACGGGAAATGAGGGAATATTGGATAGAGACAGAAATTTAGCCTACGGACCCCTCAAAGAGTTGTTGCAAGGGTTCTTAACGTGCAAAGAGCGTGGTACTCTCTTTACACGAGGTATCGGATTTAACGTCCCCATTCTGACCGGACGTGGCTGCAAATTTGTACATCCCGCACAGCCAAACGGACGCCCCACTTTAGCAAGGGTTTTACTGCCAGTCGGAGGAAGACAAATGATGACCATACTTCTATTCCCCAGTCACCCTTGGGGGCTCATATATATTTATAACTTCACGTTAAGTTAAATGATAATGGTAGCTGCTTTTCCTTCTGCCTAAAAAGATCATGCATGAAGTCAGCCTCTTGAATAAAGGAGCAAATCGGCCAGCAGTGCGGCATATTTGGTTCCTATTGGAATGCCAATTGTTTGTTTGTCCTACAAGCGTAACAATTATGTTGACAATCAAGAAATCAAGCGTCTGGATAATGTCAGTTTCATAGCTTTTGTTGTTCAAATCAGAGTTGTTCTTACAAAGTACGATTTATTTCTCCCTAAAACAATATTATTTTTATCAAACAAAGCACGATCATTTTTTTTAAAGTTGTCTTAGTTTGAAATGGGGAATACTTGTGTAAAGGGTACAGAAGTCAAATGATTTGATACTATTAAAAGATTGATTGGTTGTTTGCTTAACGTACAGTGGTAAATAGTGCATATTCAGAAAGAGAACAAATTTACAATTAACACAATAGGTAGTTCCGGTAATTGAGGCCGTCCAGGATGAAGGTCGGGGGGGATATTTGGACTGCCATTGAAAAATAAAGGTGAATTGGATTGGGACAGAAATTTTGCCTTGCAACAGGCCACCTACGGACACATCAACAAGTTGTTACAAGGATCTGTCTCTACACGAGGCATCGGATTTATCGTCCCCATTCGGACCAGACGTGACTGCGTACTTATACAACACGTACAGCCAAACAAACGCCCAACTTTGGTAAGGGTTTAACTACCGGAAGAAGACCTGTAGTGACCATATTACTAATCCCCAGTCATCCTTTGTGGACTATTGAAAGAGGAAAGAGACTTAGGTTGTAGGTATTCAAACATATCTATGGAATTTGTTAGTATCCACATCGGGTCCATGCTATCCAAAGGAACATAGAACAGTCCAATGATTATTCCGGATTTCCTCTTTAGTTAGTGTAATGGGAGTATATGGTTGAGATTTCAAGTAAGGTATCAATATCTAATTCATATATCATGTTTATATAATGTGATTAACAAAAACAGAAAATCATGGGTTTTCATAGACCCATTCAGCTTATTAATTAATTTACGAGTTTTTTAGTATAAATATCATTGAAACCGTAAAGGTGGACTTGGGTATATAAACAGTATCATCCTTGGCTTTCTTCCGTTCCCGAAGTGAGACCTTGCTAAAGAGGGTGTCGGTTTGGCTGCGAGGGTTGGATAAATTTGCAGCCGACACCGGTTGAAATGTGGACAATACATCCAACGCCTCGGAACAGGGCTGTGACAAACTATCAGCACGTTAAAGGTCCGTTTCAACAATTTTCTGACTGGAATATGGCTTTTCTTCCCTATCCTTCATACCTACATGTTTGAATGGTACTCACAAATTCCGACTTTCATTCGGGTCAATATGTCTTAACCTTCCAATTGTATTAATTGTTAATTTGTTCTCGTCCTAAAACAAGCAACAATTAATCAATCATTAACCTCGATAAGCTAGTTTAATAATTTAGCTAGCATTTACTTGAGATTCATACCAACACGGAACCACTGAAAATAATCTTTTAGAAACAAAGAGTATACTTGAATGATCATATTTCGTTTGTTGATGTGGATCATAAGTGTTTCTCTTTTCTTGTTTTTTATATAGATTAGACCGTTGGTTTTCCCGTTTGAATGGTTTTACACTAGTAATTTTTGGGGCCCTTTATAGCTTACTGTTCGGTGTGAGCCAAGGCTCCGTGTTGAAGACCGTACTGTGACCTATAATGGTTTACTTTTATAAATTTTGACTTGGATGTCTCATTGGCACTCATACCACTTATATCTATATAGTTATGTATAAGCGCAGGTACATTTTTTAATCGATCAGTAATTACAAACCTTCTATAGATAACAAAACCATATCCATACTTTCAGTATCGGAGGTCGTAATGAGTTCCAAAATCCTTCTCAGAAATAAAGTAAGGGTGTATTGTAATAGTTCATCCGTTTCCAGCATTTGTGGCAATATATCTACATGTAGAACTATACTCCCTTTAGTGGCAACAATAAATTCTATTCCACTCAAGTCTTTATTGATCTCGTCTTTAAGGGAATTCAGAATATCAATTGTTTTCTCCACATCCTCCTCGTTCTGGAAGATGATCTGTACACGGACTGTACGTCTTCCTTCTAAATATTACAAAAAGTAAAACAAAACTCCAAGGAAAAATAAAAACGGAAAGTCACCTAACAAATGTTAATGTCAAAAACCCAAACACATCAAACGAATGAAAATCAGCTGTCATATTCCTGACGTGGTACATGCATTTCCTTGTGTACTAAACAGTGGAATACACCTTGTTGTATAGCTAGATAAACCTCTCATTTAATAACGTACCACAAACCGATGTTCTCTGCCAGTTTTATGTTCGTGTTGAGATAAAATCACAACACTGAATACATGAGGGAAGGCAAAGGTGTTGTCTTACAAGTCTAATGCTACAAAAATATCAATAGCTATAGAAAAACAGATCATTGGCAAAAATGAAAATACACTTCTTGGACGGTTATTGAAATCTTCAAATCTTCCCCTTCATGCAAGAAAGACATTTTTTATTTTGTTTAAATTCTGAGATCAAATGTGAAATTCATATACCTTTGGATTTATAAAATCATTGGCGTTCTTTCTGCAGACATTGATTTTGTTTTACAGCAACTACTTTCGAAACTAGGCATGTTCGAACAGTTTTGTCAAGAAACTAAGTGCAATGAAGAGTCTTCGAATGATTTTTCAAATTGAAACTTGAATCAGAATTTCTTTCTTCTTTCTAATTATATTGGATATGAAGTGACCTCGTGAGTGACTGAGGAATAGCAATTTGGTAACTTTCGACTTTTCAGGCCGACATTAAAATCTTACCAAAGTGGGGATGTGCCGAATGTACAGGTACACAACCACGTCCGGTTAGAATTTGGACATTAAAGTCAAAGCCTTGTGTAAAAAAAGAGTGCAACGTTCTCTGCACGTTAAAACATTAGGCAAAGACATTTAATGAGTTATTATCTGACCTGTTGCATAGCAAAATGTCTGTATTTTTCCAATATCCCTTATTTGCAACTTGACGTTAAGCAAACGCCAATCAATCAATCATCCTTAACATATTTATTTAATAGCATACGTTTGAAAATTAGTTTTCTTTTGTTTTCTTTTTAGGTGAAGAAGCGAACCAAAAATAATATACATTCAGACAAATTACCTTCTGATTTTTCGTCCTTTAACAACGATCTCAGATTCCTCAAACTTTTATCAAAACTTTCTCCCCAGTAAAACTTTATAGGTTTTTTTTCAAATTGCACTGTAAAATTTAAAGATATAAGACAATTATTAGATAGATACCAAAACTAATATGATGCGCATTATAAAAATAAAAACAAAACGACAATCAGTAAAAACAAATTTGTTCCTTAACCTTTTTTTTTTGTCCATATGGTATATTGTGTATACAGAGCTTAAAATGAGAAGACTTACATATTGAATATAACACAAATGAAACGGACAAAATAAGAACAACATAAAATATAAACGGGATCAACCATAAGAAATATGGAAAAAATAAAATAAACCGGAAGTTAACATCTGAAAATGTTCCTTCCCCGCAAATGAAACAAAAAAGCATGAACGTGAAAACAATTGCTGCTAAAGAAATACATTCGCATATCAGTTTTAGTAGACACAATAGTGTTTTCTGTACAAAATATGTCAGGTAAACTATAAACCAGAACATTAGGAAACATCGAGGACCTAAGCAAAAAAGGCAAAAATAAATGTCAGGTAAAATTTGCCTAAATGCCTTGCATCATTCGTTTTGTACACTAACGTTGATAATGAACATGTATCTCTTGTAAATTGATTTAAACGAAAAGACTTCTGTCTATGGATGTTGACCTTTATAACTCCGACTTATAATATAAATAAAAAGTCATTTTTTTTTCATTTACGACCAATGTGACAAGATTTCATATTCTTTATCAATTAATTTACCATTACAAGTGTGAACAACTTTCTATTATCCATA